GTACCATTTAAAGGATAATGGAGCCGCATATGGCACAAGACTGTGGAAGACTTGCTCTAATGTTTTTGCATTTCGGTAATTTTCTGTTTCCTAGCTTTGTATCAATTTGCCATTTGCTTATCGTAGAAACTAGAGTGCTTCATGTATAAACCTAGAAATCTCAAACCGAAGATGAGCGGGGAACGAAAGGTAGCGCCTCTAAAGCAGATGAAGATGAAGATGAGGATGAGGAAGACGACGAAGATGACGATTTGATGCGTCTGGTGCGTCGTCAACGAGAGGCTTACACAGCAAGAGTTGCTGCAGGACGTCCAAGCATTCGTCGTGGCCTCAATTCGACCGGCTGCGGTGCCACCATCGCCACATCCGCTACGAACTCTTCGGCTTTGGCGACACCGATTGCTACTGCTGCTTTGTCAAAGAATGAACGCCTCTATAGAAGCCTGATTCGCAAATACATTGGCAAGGCTGCACGTCAGAGAGCAAACATTAGGAGAGATAAGATACTTATGGCTAGAAAAGCTGCTAGAGACTGTGCAAAGGCTGTGCGGCAGCGTCAGGCTCAGAAGACGTCGAAGGACTTTGCCTGTAAGTTTTCATCGAGCTCTCATATGTCTTCGCCGTCAATAGCTTAAAGTAAATAGTATCATAAACCGTCAGGCTAGCACCATGGAAATTTGTGCCTAACTTGCTTGAACAAGAAAACATGACTTATTTACGTTTTCATTTGGCAATTACTTTTCATTTAATTTACTCATTTGAAGGAGCCGGCCCATTGTTTGCTAAAGCGCATTCATGAGGAGACACTAAGCTTACATTTTTTCTCATTTTGTTCTTGTGCCGTTCGTATATTCGGGTCATGGTTGGTTCGAAAAGCGAGGAGAAATGAGGACTGGGTGGGCTTATCAAGGCTGTACCTGAACGACACCCTCGTAAGCACCCTGCTGTTTCCTGATATCATGCAGGAGTGTTATGACTTTGAACCAAATACTTGGAATGGAGCTGAAAAGAAGGCACCTCGGGGAGCAGTATTAATGCCAACTCCAATTATTGCTATGCTTTCTCAATTACAATTTATTGCTTTTTTGAAATTTAGTGGTTTTTTTGCATGTGTTGCATTGCAACAGTTGATTTAATGAGGATCACAGGTGTCTGGTACTCTCCTCCGTACCCCCCCCCC